AAGGACATAACAAGAGATAATGAAGGCCACTTCATAATACTAAAGGGAGCAATCCAACAAGAAGAAATAACCCTGGTCAATATATATGCACCCAATACAGGAGCACCCAAATACATTAAAAAAAAAACTGCTGGAGGACATTAAGAGAGAGATTAATAGCAATACAATCATAGTAGGAGATTTTAATGCCCCACTATCATCCTTCAACAAATCATCTAAACAAAAAATCAGAAAAGAAATATCAATCCTAAATGACTCGCTAGACCAGATGGAATTAATCGACATCTTCAGAACATTCCACCCAAATGCCACAGAATATACATTCTTCTCAAGTACACATGGGACATTCTCAAAGATAGAACACATTTTGGGACATAGGCAAAGTCTCTTCAAATTCAAGAAGATAGAAATCATATCAAGCATCTTCTCAGATCATAATGGCATAAAACTGGAAATTAACTACAATAAAAATAATCCAAAGAAATCAAACACATGGAGAATAAACAGCATGCTATTAAACAAGGACTAGGTTACCAGAGAAATCAAGGAAGAAATTAAAAACATCCTAGAAACAAATGACAGTGAAAACACAACAATCCAAAATCTATGGGACACAGCAAAAGCAGTTTTGAGAGGGAAGTTCATATCCTTACAAGCCTATTGCAAAACACTAGAAAAAAATGGTAGCAAATGATCTAACTCTACAACTCAAAGAGTTGGAAAAAGAGCAACAAGAAAAGCCCAGTGTAAGCAGAAGGAAGGAAATAACAAAAATCATAGCGGAGATAAATGACATAGAGACCAAAGAAACAATACATAAAATCAACAAAACCAAGAGCTGGTTCTTTGAAAGGATAAACAAGATAGATGGACCTCTAGCCAGGCTAACCAAGAAACAAAAAGAGAGGACCCAAATAAACAAAATCAGAAATGAAAGAGGTGAAATAACAACAGACCCCACCGAAATACAACGGACTGTTACAAAATACTACGAACAACTCTATTAAACCAAACTGAACAACCTGGAGGAAATGGACATATTCCTAGAAAAATACAAACTTCCAAAATTCAATCAGGAAGAATCTAAAAATCTCAATAGACCAGTGAATTGGGAAGAAATTGAAACAGTCATCAAAAAGCTTCCAGCAAACAAAAGCCCAGGGCCAGATGGCTTCACAGGAGAGTTTTACCAAACATTCAAGGAAGAACTAAAACCTATCCTCCTCAGACTATTCCAAAAAATCCAAGAGGAAGGAACACTTCCAAACTCCTTCTATGAAGCCAGCATCACCCTAATACCAAAACCAGATAAAGACAACTCAATGAAAGAGAATTATAGGTCAATATCTCTTATGAACATAGATGCCAAAATCCTCAACAAAATTCTAGCAAATCGGCTCCAGCAGAGCATCACAAAGATCATACACCACAACGAAGTAGGATTTATTCCAGGATTGCGAAGATGGTACAATATCCGCAAATCAATAAATGTGATACATCACATAAACAAATTGAAAGATAAAAATCATATAGTCATATCAATTGATGCAGAAAAAGCATTTGATAAAATCCAACACCCTTTCCTGATAAAAAACCCTCAACAAGGTGGGAGTACAAGAATCATACCTCAACATAATAAAAGCTATATATGATAAACCCACAGCCAACATCATACTCAATGGGCAAAAACTAAAACCATTCCCTCTAAGAACAGGAACAAGACAGGGTTGCCCACTCTCACCACTCATGTTTGACATAGTACTGGAAGTACTAGCCATTGCAATTAGACAAGAAGAGGGTATAAAAGGCATCCAAATTGGAAAAGAAGAAGTAAAATTATCCTTATTTGCAGATGACATGATATTGTACATAGAAAACCCAAAAGACTCAACTAAAAAACTAATTGACTTAATAAATGAATTTGGCAATGTAGCAGGATACAAAATTAACGCCAAGAAATCTACGGCATTCCTATACACCAATAGTGAACTTGCAGAAACAGAGACTAAAAAGGCAATCCCATTTACCATCGCACCAAAAAAATTAAGATACCTTGGAATAAACTTAACTAAGTAGGTAAAAGACCTATACACGGAAAACTACACGACACTGAAAAAAGAGATAGAGGAAGATGTAAACAGATGGAAGAACATACCATGTTCATGGATTGGTAGAATCAACATCATCAAAATGTCCATAGTTCCCAAAGCAATCTATAGGTTCAATGCACTCCCAATTAAAATACCAACATCATATTTCACTGACCTAGAAAAAACTCTTCAAAAGTTCATTGGAACAACAAAAGACCCCGAATAGCCAAAGCAATCCTGAGAAAGAAGAGTAAAGTAGGAGGGATCTCAATACCAGATTTCAAACTGTATTACAAAGCCACTGTTCTCAAAACAGCCTGGTACTGGCACAAAAACAGATACATAGATCAATGGAATAGAATTGAGAACCCAGATATCAACCCAAATCACTATGCTCAGTTAATATTTGACAAAGGAGGCACGAACATACAATGGAGTCAAGACCGTCTCTTCAATAAATGATGTTGAAAAAATTGGACAGATACATGCAAAGAATGAAACTGGATCACCAACTTACACCATACACAAAAATAAACTCAAAATGGATACAGGATTTAAACATAAGATGGGAAACCATAAAAATACTAGAAGCATCCACAGGCAGCAAAATCTCAGACATATGCCAAAAGAACTTCTTCAATGATACTTCCCCTAGGGCAATGGAAGCTAAAGAGAAAATAAACAAATGGGACTACATCAAAATAAAAAGCTTTTTTTACAGCAAAGGAAACCATCAACAAAACAACAAGAAAGCCCTCTGTATGAGAGAACATATTTGCAAATGTTATCACTGATAAAGGTTTAATCTCCAACATCTACAGACAGCTTACACAACTTAATAAAAGGAAGATAAATGACCCAATTAAAAAATGGGCAATGGATCTAAATAGAATCTTCTCAAAAGAAGACAGAAGGAAGGCCAAGAGGCATATGAAAACATGCTCAAAGTCACTAATTATCCGAGAAATGCAAATCAAAACAACAATGCGATACCATCTCACACCTGTCAGAATGGCCAACATCAACAAATCAACAAACGACAAGTGTTGGCGAGGTTGTGGAGAAAAAGGAACCCTCGTGCATTGCTGGTGGGAATGTAGACTGGTGCAACCACTGTGGGGAACAGTATGGAGCTTCCTCAAAAAACTGAAAATGGAACTCCCATTTGACCCAGTAATCCCACTCCTAGGAATATATCCCAAGAAGCTAGAAACATCAACCAGAAAGAATATATGCACCCCTATGTTCATAGTAGCACAATCTACAATAGCTAGGATTTGGAAACAGCCTAGGTGCCCATCAGCAGATGATTGGATCCAAAAGCTATGGTACATTTACACAATGGAATATTATGCAGCCATAAAAAAAAAAATTCTCATCGTTTGCAGCAACCTGGATGGAATTGGAGAACATCATGCTGAGTGAAACAAGCCAGTCAATGAAAGAGAGACACCACATGATCTCACTTATTTATGGATGATAAAGAACATTATAAACTGAAGAACCAAAAGATAGATATAGAGACAGTAAAGCAACAAGCAGACTGTCAAATTACAGCGGGGAGGCTGGGGAGATCTGGGGGAGATAAGAGATCAACTGAAGGACTTGTATCCATGCATATAAGTACAACCAATGGACACAAAACTCTGGGGAGGGAGGGTATGTACGGGGGGGGGGGGGGGTTGGTATATGTACAAAAATAATGACTTAATAAAAATATACATATAAATAAAAAAAGAAAATATTAGAGAACTTTCCATGACTCCCTCAAAAAATGTAACATTTTCCTAAATGCATTATAACAAAACAGTGACTGTCTCTAAATGACAAGAAGAAATTTAAAATGACACAGTTATAAATTTGATTATACTGCAAATAACAAAGAATCTTATCCTTTCTGCAAAACACAATATTTCACAATATTATACCTAATAATGATTAGTTATAAGCCAAAGCATCAGAATTTAATATATAAACAAAATATAATTATCATTTCTTTATTTGACAAACCTTCACATGTACCTTAAGTATAAAATTTTCTTTCATAAAGAAAAAAACAAAACAAAACACAAATCCCTGAGGTATTCCAGGGCCTATTGGAATTATATAAAGCCAATTCTATTCCAAAAAAGTTTCTTAAAATTCAAACGCTGTAAAGATTATCAAACTTATTTTACCAAAAGATTATATATAATTATTTTATTAAACAGTATTCGACTATTTATTCAAGGGTATAAAACACAAACATAGCCTAGCAAAACTTCAGTTCCCACTATTAAGGTCACCTTTTTTAAGTAATTAAGTAGCTGATTAAAATAACACAATATATAATTATTTCAACAATTTATAGAACTTTTGCTTCTTAGGCAAATACAGGAAAACCTTTTTCCCTTTTAACAGGCTGTAAAAGGACTAAGCAAATTCTGTATTAGCTTACTTTAGATTTACTTATCTAAGTAAATTATTCAGGTTACCTATAATATCCTTTTAAAATTTTCTTCACATGTCTTATATAACTTTACAAATCTTATTATTGATTTAGCTTTAGAACAACTAAATTCCCTTTTCCCTTGAAAAATGCATCTTCACACCTCATGCCTTCTATTACCAAAACCATATTTCTTTCCAATTAGCTAGAATTTCCAACTCTTAGAAACCTTAAATTTTAGTTGACAAGTTAAGTACTTAACATTTTTAAGATTAGAAATATACACATTTTAACATATAATTCAAATAAAATATAATACATATTCATTAATAGATTCAAATCTATCCTCTAGATCACATGTGTCAAACACAAGGCCCACGGGCCAAATCCGTCCCGCCAGGCCTTGCAATGTGGCCCGCACCGCGCTGTCATCACTGCACTCCGCTGTGTTTCCATCACAATGACAGTTTATGATTGTTCAGTAAACCATTCGGCCCGCGATTTAGGCTGGATTTTAGATTTTGGCCCCTTCTCTGATTGAGTTCGACACCCCTACTCTAGATTCTCTGTAATAAAAACCCCAAAGTAGGCAAACTCAAATTAATTAATATTTCAGTATCCCGTTATTTCAAAACTAGAGGCCCAATGCATAAAATTCGTGCAAGAGTAGACCTTTGCAGCTGGGTTCGGCTCCCTCAATCCCATGGCTGCCTTGGCTTTGTCAGGGAAGGACATCTGGAAAGATATATAGTCAAAAGCATATTACACTTTTATTATTATAGATACCTAGATATTTAATACTTTTTATTATTTAACCCAGCAAACACCAAAGTGTTAAGTTACCAAAGACTTTAGAAAATTATGTTTAGGCATAAAATTATCACTAAAAACCTTTATCATAAACCCTTCATTTTAGTTACATCTATTTATTATATCTTAGTAACTTTGAGATTTTAAAGCCAATTATTATTACCCAAGGCATTTTCTTGACAAAGTTTGTAACAGGGATAACTCAGTGGCTTTAATATAAAAGTACTATTTTATTTTTCTTTACAAAAATTATACTGACGAAGATGGCTGCCATCGGGAAGGCAGGTTACAAGGTAGTGTGTGAGTGAGAGAATGAAAGTAGAGAGTGTGGATGTGGGGGGAGTGTCTATTTGTGAGTGAGGGACAGCTATATTTTAAGGGACTGTTGGGGACTGCTGGACCAGGTTCCCCTGACTGGGCAGCCCCTACTGCTGCTGAAATCTCTTCCAGAGTGGGCGGCTCTGCTGCAGAGACCACATCATCTTGAAGGGGAGAGTGGTTGTGATCGGAAGCCTAACTTTACCTTCAACCAGGAAGAACTCAGATACCTCCCAGGACCCTAGAACCACAACACCCAGAGATCAGCTGCAAACCAGGTCTCAAGCAGCATGAATACACAGATGCAGATGAGACTTGCACCTTCTCACAGAAAGGTCAAATATCACCTAGAGAAAGATGAAGTCTGTGATCTAGGCTAGAGAAAGGCACACAGTGGAATCTAGAGTTTCAAAGGAAGTCTACGCCCCACAAAAATCCATGGCCGTTGGGGTCAGCATAGCCTGTGAATAAGGGGGTCCACAGTTTTCTTACTTAGTGTGCCTTCCTCTTGAATTTTTTGGAATAATATGAGGAAGATAGATTTCAGATTTTCTTTGAATGCTTGGTAGAACTCCTCTGTAAAGCCATCCAGACCAGGGCTTTTGTTTATTGGAAGATTTTTGATCACTGTTTCAATTTATTTTGTAGTTATCAGCCTATTCAAGTTTTTTTTTTATTCTTCTTGCTTGAGTTTTGGGAGCTTGTATTTTTCTAAGAATGTGTCCATTTCATCTAGGTTGTGCATTTTGTTGGAATAGAGTTGTTCATATTATTTTTTCATAATCATTTGTATTTCTGTGGAATTGGTTGTTACTTCACCTCTTTCATTTCTGATTCTGTTTATTTGGGTTCTCTCTCTTTACTTCTTGGTGATCTTCACTAGAGGTTCATCAATCTTGTTTATCCTTACAAAGAACCAGCTCATGGTTTTGTTAATCTGGTTCTTTGAAAAGAGTGAAAGGGGAGCTTGACCACCTCCCCAGAAGTCATAGGACTTCATCAGTTGAATTGGTCAGGAAACGGGTGGATTGTGTTTTTAAATTCTGAGTGAATGTCTGGTGAAAGTATGTGAGTGTTGAGGGAGAGGGCCTGCCTTCTCTTATCCTTCGTGTGGCTCCACAACCTTGGTTATGGAGTCCGAGTGGGCCTAACCTGTAGTTCCACGATTTGTCATATGGCATAATGGTGACTAACCCCCACGTGAAGGTGACCAGGCCTGGGGTTTATATGGGTGCATCTTAGCTAAGACAAATCTAAGCTCCAAAGGGATATTGCCAGGTGGGCAACTCAGTGAGGATCTGTGAAATTACTAATAGGTCACCACCTCCCTTGTCTGTCTCTCGATACCAATCATCATGGGGTCGAAACAAAGTAAACCCAATTCTCAATTGCATGTTGAAAATTTTGTTGAAAAATGTTGAAAAGGGTTTCAATGGAGACTATGGTATTAAAATGAACCCCAAATCCACTGAAGAAATTCTATGAATTACAATGACCAGCCTTTGAGGTTGGCTGGTCCTCGGAAGGGTCGGCTCCTTAAATAAGGGACTGATCAGGGCAGTCTGAAATGTAGTCATGAAAGACCCTGGACACTCAGATTAGTTTCCCTACAAGATAGCAGGTTAGAAATTGCTCAAACCTTGCTGCCTTGGGTCTGATTCTGCATGTGTAACAAGGGATAGAGTAAAGTTTTAATAGCAGGAGTGAAGAGGCAGGCAGGGCAGGTGCAGGCTAGGGAAAGGCAGGCAGGGGAGGAGCAGACTAAGGAAATCAGGCAGGAGAGGAGAAAGCAGAAAAGAAGCAGGCAGGAAAAAAGAAACAGGTCCCTCAGAAGGGAACCCAACCCCCTGTTTGGCCAGGAACCCCTGAGGAAGTTCTGCCAGTTTTACCACCTCCTTTAAAAAGGTGTGCCACAGGCAGCACCTCCCTCCACTGGTTTGGAAGGTCCAGAAAGTCTAAAAACACCACCCCCTGCTGTATCTCCTCAACTGGGCTCTCTATCCCTTGTTACTGGCTTTATGCTGAGCTTGTTGGGCAGTACTTACATTCAGCTGATCAAGGGCCCAAGCCACAACCAGCACGTCAGATGCCTCTCAGGGAGATTTGGGGTGCCCAAGTGCTTGGTGAAGATGGGAAGATGGGACCTTGCGGGAGGGAAGTCCAATTTATTATTATTAGCCCTTTACCACAAGTGACACCCTGTATTGGAAGCATCACAACCAAGTTTATTCTGAAAAATCCTCAGGCCACGGTAGACCTCCTAGAAATGATTTTCCAGACCCAGAAACCCTAGCAGCTCCTTTTTACATTCTTTAACACTAAGGAGCACATGAGAGTAGTATCAAAGGCTTGGAAGTGGCTCCAGATCCAGGACCCAGCAGGAATATTAGATACAGACAGATGGGCCAGGGAGGCCTTCCCAGATGAGGAACCTGATTGAAACCCGAACTCAGAAGATGGAAGGGCCAGGCTAGAAAGATATTGGCTGGCCTTCCTCCATGGGGTCAGGGCCAGAGCCAAGAAGCCCACCAATACGGCTAAAATCTCTGAGGTATTCCAGAAGTGTGATGAAAGTCCAGCAGCTTCCTATGAGAGACTATGTGAGACATACCGAATCTATACTCCCTTTAACCCTGAGTCCCTGGAAAATCACACTATGGTAAATGCCACTTTTGTAGGCACAGCCTAGCCTGATATCAGGAGAAAATTACAGAATCTGGAAAGTTTTGCCAGAAAAAAATGCCACTGAACTGCTGGAGATAGCAAACAAGGTTTTCATCAACTAAGACAGTGTGGCAAGGAAGAAAAGAGAATCCAAAGAAGGGCCAATATAATAGCAACGGCTTTTAGAGGCTCAAATTCTCAGACAGACCAGAAAGGGAAGTAAGACTATAGATCAGGGGGAAAAGGAAGAGCAAGTCTGAGATGAGACCAGAGTGTCTATTGTAAGGAGACAGGACACTGGAAGAATTAATGTTCCAAATGACGAAATAAGAAAACTGGACCCCCTTTTCCACCCAGTCGCTATCAACCAGAGCCACCTGAAGCAGATCTCATTGGGCTAGCAATGGTTGATTCCGACTAGGACAGACCGGCTCTCTTCAAGTAGGCCCCTATGAGCTCATGCTCAGAATGAAAATTGGGGCCAGACTGGCTTTATGCTGATACAAGAGCGGAGCCTCAGTATCACACAGAAAACAGTGCCTCTCTCAGAGAAGGAGGTCACCATTATTGGAGCCGCTGGGGCCAGACCCACAGACCATTCTGCCGCCCTCACCAATGCCAACTTGGTGGTCATCAAGTAATTCATGAATTCCTGTACTTGCCAGACTGCCCAGTGCCTCTCATGGGAAGAGATAGTTTAGCCAAGATGGGGGCAGAAATCACTTTTGCTCCAAATGGCTCAGCACAGCTTTGCCTAAGTGAGGAGACCTCCCCAATGATCCTGTCCCTAGCAGTGCAGGGGACAAGGAGACTTTATACCCCCCAGTCAAAGTTCTCACCATTAGAACCTGAATTAGAAAAAAAAATTCCTGCTCCGCTGGTGACTGTCTTAAAGCCTTGGGCACAGCCTGTTAAAACCTGTCAATATCCAATTCTGAGAAAAGCACGCCTAATTGGAATCCAGGTCCACTTAGACTGGCTGCTTTAGTGGGGACTTATTAAACAATGCATGTCTCCATGGAACATGCCACTCTTGCCTGTCAAAAAAGCTTTAGACTAACAACTACCATCCGGTGCATGATCTACGGGCTGTTAATGAGGCTGTTACAACTCTGCATTCAGCACTGCCAAATCCCTACACTCTTCTGGGGCTCATTCCATCAGAGGTGGAATGGTTTACATGACTAGATCTGAAAGATGCCTTTTTTCTGCCTTAGATTAGCTCCTTCCAGCCAGCCTCTTTTCGCTTTTGAATGGGAAAACCCAACTATAGGGGCCAAGAAGCAATTCATCTGGACCAAACTGCCACAAGGGTTCAAGAATTCCCCTACTCTTTTTAGTGGAGCACTTGCATCTAATCTGTCTAAGTTCCCAGGAAAGGACTTGGGGTGTGTTCTACTCCAATATGTAGATGACCTCCCACTGGCTAGCTCCACTGGAGCTCAGTGCTGGGAGGGAACACAAGCCCTTCTGAGACTATTAATTGAAGCAGGTTATTGAGTGTCTAAGAAAAAAAGCACAAATTTGTCAGAAAAAAGTCAAGTATCTAGGCTTTTGGATCACCCAAGGGCAATGAAGGCTAGGGACTGAAAGAAGGCAGGCAGTATGTGCCATCTAAGTCCCTAGCACCTGGCAGCAGATTCAGGAATTCCTGGGAGTGGCAGGGTTCTGTAGAATTTAGATCCCAGGGTTTTCAGACCTGGCTAAACCTCTCTATGAAGCTTTAAAGGGAGAAGAGAAGGCATCCATCGACTGGGGTCCCAAACAAGAGAAAACCTTTGTCACCATAAAGGCAAAGCTCACTGAGGCCCCAGCACTAGGGCTACCAGATGTGATATAAGACTAATCTTTTTGTTCACGAGAACAGTGGGGTAGCCCTAGGAGTTCTAACCCAGGAGTTTGGACTCTGGCAAAGACCAGTAGCCTATCTCTCCACACAGACTGACCCAGTAGCCTTTGGGTGGCCCCCATGTCTCAGGGCCTTGAAGCCACTGCATTGTTACTCAAGGAAGCAGATAAGCTTACCTTAGAACAAAACTTAAATGTAAAAGTACCTCATGCTATTGTCACTCTGATGGAAGTAAGGGGGCAGCACTGGCTGACTCATGCTTGAATGTCTCAATATCAAGGCCTGTTAAGTGAGAATCTGCAGGTATGATTAAAAGCTGTGAGAACTCCTAATCTTGCCACCTTTCTACCCATTGCAAAGGAGGCCCATGAGCATGATAACCTGTAATCCTAGAGGAGTTTTATTCCAACCGGCCAGATCTAACAGATAGGCCCTTGCCAAACCCAGACTTGGTATTGTACACAGATAGCAACAGCTTCTTAGATGAAGGAAAAAGATGAGCCGGATATGCAGTGGTATCAAACTTTGAGACAATTGAGGCACAGTCCATGCCTGAAGGATGGTCAGTGCAAAGGGCAGAACTTTGAGCCCTTGCTAGAGCCTTAGAACTAAGTAAGAATAAGCGTGCCAACATCTACACTAACTCGCACTATGCTTTTGCTACCCTGCATATCCATGGAACCATATATAAGGAAAGGGAGCTCTTGACAGCTGGAGGAAAAGGAATAGAAAACCAGAATGCGATTTTAAAATTACTAGAAGCAGTCTGGGAGCCCAAGGAAATAGTCGTCATCCATTGCAAAGGTCATCAGAAAGGGAAAGGCTCGGTATCAGAAGGAAACCACTGTGCTGACACCGCAGCCAAGCTGGCTGCTAAAGAATAAGTGGCACCGTCACGAATCGTGTTGGCAGCCAAATTACCTGAACCTCCAAAATACACTCCTCAGGAAGAGGAATGGGCCCAGCAAGAAGGGGGCAAGAGAAGGAAGGAAGGCTGGTGGATCATAGGTTCTATGTCCCAGAACAATTGGCCCATAAGGTAGTCCATCAGTAGCATGAACTCACTCATTTAGGGAAGAATGTCCTAGAAGCTTTGTTAGGCAGATACCTACCTAATTGCCCATCTTCCCTCCTTGTGTGCCTATCTCTCAGCACTGCCTCCTCTGTGCTCAGAACAATGCCAAACAGGGTTCTGTGGAACTGATAGGAGTTCAGCGCTGCGGGCAAGCTCCTTTTGAGGAGTTAAAAGTAGATTTTACAGAAATATGGCCTAGCAGAGGAAATAAATACCTGCTAGTTTTTGTTTGCACCTTTTCAGGTTGGTCGAGGAATATCCCACTCACATGGAAAAAGCAAGAGAAGTCACTAAGGAATTGCTGAAGGATATAATTCCAAGGTATGGAATTCCTCTGGCCCAGTTATTGTAGCAGAAATAGCACAACAGGAAGCTAAGGCTTTAGGAATTAAATGGAACCTACATACAGCCTACAGGTCTCAGAGTTCAGGGAAAGTAGAATGCATGAACCGGATTCTAAAGCAGACTATGGCTAAATTATGCCAAGAGACAACCTGATCCTGGACAGATATCTTGCCTCTTGTACTCCTGTGGGTATGCTGTGACCCAAGGGCCAAAGTAGGTTTCTCTCCTTGTGAAATTCTGTATGGTAGACCCACTCCCTTAATTCGGCCAAAGGGAGATTTGGGGGAAATAGGGAACTTGGAAATCCAGAAGCAACTACAAGGACTTGGAAAAACTGTCTTTGAGGTTCACAGATGGGTTATTGACTGACTACCCATCTCTCTAGGAATAGCCATATATCCTTATAAACCTGGAGACCAGGTTTGGGTAAAGGTTTGGAAAAAGGAGCCTCTCAAGCCTACCTGGAAAGGACCCTATCTAGTCATATGAACCATACCCACAGCTCTGAAGGTTGTAGGATTGAGCACCTGGATCCACCACTCATGTATGAAGGCAGCTCAGGAGCCAAGCAGCGATCAGTCCGAGTGGAAACTGACCTCAGATCTTGAAAATCACCTCCAGCTGCGCCTCAGCAAAGAAACAAAGGCCTCATCATGAATTGCTTGACCACTCTTTGTCATGCCATTCTTGGCTACATTTGCCGAGCAGGAGTAGTTATAATACTACTCTTCATTCTAGCAGTTCACTGCTGTGGACCCCCACTGTACAGGAACAGGGGGAATAACATAATCCCTTAATTAGAGCGTGTATGTTCCCACTTTTCCTTGCAACTACATATCCTGCTTAACCAGGACCAAGGATGATACCATTGTAAGTCTTTCCTCTTATCAGGGGAGGTAGTGCTACACCGGAATAAAGCTCTGTATATGGAAAACACAGATCTACTGGGCAGGTAACCTCCACAATCATTGTTAGGGATTCTCACGCAGTGCATATGTCTGTTGGGCCTGTAAGGGGGACCAACGTTTTGTTGACTGAGCCTGAGCCAGGGAAGCCATAGGACTAGAAACAACCAAACCACAGGAAGCATCCAAGGTACCGGTACCAGACGAAGAACTCGGCCACAGAGGCAATATGTCTTGGACCCCCAATTCCATCAGCTCCTCAATTCAACCCACCACCTCCTCAATATTATCAGCCCTAATTTTGCTAGTGATTGCTGGTTATGTCTTCCCCCAGGACCACTCCTATTAATGGATAGCCCAGTAAATATAGCTAAACCAGGAACTTAGCAGAAGAAATAATAGGACCTGTCATGACCAATGTGCAGCTAACTAATGTTGCTCCTATTTGTTTTAGCAGTACCCAGAGCCAACAGCCAACAGGTCACCTCCCAGATGATCTATGCAACTCAACTCTCAAGTCTGAAAACACTACTAACCCCGGGTACCTCTCTGCAGGAACATTCTACATGTGAGGAACCACTGCTTACCCCTGCCTGCCTGCCTGCAAACTGGATAGGAGTGTGCATGCCTGCCTATCTAACCCCAGATAGGTCTATTATATACAACAACCAATCCCATGAGACCCCCCCCCCCCCCGCTCAAAGCAGTAAGTAGATATGAGGACTCTGCAAGTAATCCCCCTTCTATTATAATAGAGCTCAGAATTGCAGGTAGTAAAGGACCTGGGATAGGGGGAATAGCTCACTCTGTCTCCTATTAAGTTTGACCCAAGAATTTTCAGAAGACAAAGAGAATAGCTGAGACTCTAATTGCCTTATAGGATCAAGCTGATTCCTTAGCCACAGTAGTACTACAGAATAGAAGAGGATTAGACTTACTAACAGGAGAGAAAGGTGAAATCTGCCTCTTCTTAGGAGAAGAGTACTGCTTTTACATCAACCAGTCAGGCATTGTCAGGGATTAGGCAAAGAATCTAATTGAACGAGCAACAACAACAACAAAAAAAGACAGGAGCTATCAGAGTCCTGGGCTGTTTGGGTCGGGATGTGTGTGTGTGTGTGTGTGTGTGTGTGTGTGTGTGTGTGTGTGGAAATAGCTTCTCCCATTGGCAGGACCTCCGTTAATGCTATTCATAGCTGTAATGTTAGGACCATGTCTTCTACATTTCTTAACTTGCTTTATCTCATTTTGCCTAGATGCCTTTAAACTTCAGATAGTCCTACAAATCAGAATAATTCCCTACAAACCTCTCCGAAAGGAAGGGTTTAATAAATGTGTTTATTAGAATTTACAGAATGCTAATCCCTTGGTCATCACCCCTTATCAGCAGGAAGCAGCTAAGAGTGGTCATCATCCCTGTTCATTGTAACATCCCATAGTCGTTATACCACAAGGCTAAAAAAAGTTTGTGAGACAAGGGGGGGAGGGGAAATAATAAGGCTAAAAGTCTAATTCCAATGTAACCCTGATATTTATAGAGGCTAGCAATCTGAATTTGTGCCAGCAATCTAATGTACATTCTTGATAACCTACAATTAAGTCATTGCCCCCTTCTCCACAAACTGGTCTTGCAAGAGCTATTACCTAAATGCTCACATTTTACAGAGGCCCTAAACCATGACACATCCCCCAGAGGGGGGTTATCAGCACTGGTGACAGGCAAGGCCCTTAGATAAGGTCTTAAGACCCCCAACACCTGGGGCTTTTGAAAAGCTCATGAAAGGTCTGGAAATATAATCCATATTTGGGAGATAAAGACACCAAAAAGGGATAAAAGTGGAGCTTCCACCATATTGGTTTGCTCAGAATTTGAGAGGCAACCTACTCTGAGTCCAACGGCATAATAAAGCTGTGTAACTCCATTTCTCTAAGCATTGCTTGGATTTCTTCAGTCTTCTACAACACCCCTATGTTTCCAACTCCAAGTTAATGACTAACTAGAGAAATGAAAGTGATTCTCTCTGTTCAATGTGACTGCCTGATGGTATAGTTTTGTTCCAGGTTAATAATTTTATTATAAATATGAGCTTATTTCCTGATCAAATTGACTTACAAAGTCCAATTTATTTATTTTTTATTTTTGGTACTGATTTGGTTCCATCAAAATATAGAAAGGTAACATTTACATTAAGTTTCAGGCTGAGCTAATGACTCACAGTCATTTCATTAGCTCAGCCTGAAACTTGATTATAGACTAATAAGAATGTGCATTAGGAATACTGATTAACTAGGTACAGAGTCAGGCTGCTAGCCCACCTCTCCATCCCCACCCAAATGTCTTATTTTCCTCATCATTATGTTTAGGAAATTCAAACAAGAAAGGAAGAGAGATGGCCATAGTGCCAAAACAACTGCCAGCCAAAGAGACAGAACCAAAGGCAGACAGAGATAGATGAGATATCTTCCATCACTTTAATCTGGGTCTAAGGATTCTCAACTCTGCAAGATTTCTCAAGTAGCCACACGGATTTATTTTCTGCCTTACGGTGCACTCGCCTATTGTACCATTTGGTAACTTCAATCTATTTGGCCTACGGAGAAATTACCTGGTCTCCCTCCATGACAGCAGGTGCTCCAGGACATAAAGCGATGCTTGGAGGAAAGGCAGTGGACTGGCTAAGGATGAGAGGGTTTTTTATATGTATCTCAGGGAGAACCCAATTAGGAGACCCAACTTCAAGCTCAGCTCTTTCATTTACTAACTTGGACCACTAAAAGGTGAACTCCACAAGAGCAGGTATTATTACTAATGACTGGTCACTATTATGGTGCCTAGAATGGTGCTTGGCACACAGATCTTCACTAAATGTTTCTAAAATAAATTATCCCTGCCTTGATGTCCTCATTTAAAAAAATGGATAGATAAGATTTATCTCTCTCCATTAGGGGTTTTGTGAGGCTCTAATAAAGTATAAACAGATGTCTGTTTTAAAATGTTTGGAAAGGTTACCTAAAAAACAAATATAAGCTGATAAGATTATTACCCAACAAAGTCCATTGAGCTTATATTTTATTATTTTTATTTTTTATTTTTTATTGATTTTTCACAGAGGAAGAGAGAGGGATAGAGAGTTAGAAACATCGATGAGAGAGAATCATCGATCAGCTGCTTCTTGCACACCCCCCACTGGGGATGTGCCGGCAACCAAGGTACATGCCCTTGCCCGGAATCAAACCCGGTAGCTTTCAGTCCACAGGCCGACGCTTTATCCACTGAGCCAAACCGGTTCCGGTGAGCTTATATTTTAAAAGACATAGAATAAAGAGTAAATATAAGTCATGGGGTGATAAGATATAGGAAAAATTAAGTAAGAAAATAAAAAAATTTTAACAGAGTGTTAAAGGATGTGCGGTAAGGGGAAATATGGGGATGGAGTGAGCCTTCTGGATATTGGAAATGAGGCAGAGGGAACAGCTAGTGCAGAGCCCCAGAGGCAGGAGTGTGTATGGTGGACAAGGAAGTAGCCAGTGTGGCTGATATGAAATGATCAAAGGGAAAGTGGTAGAATGGGATTTGTGCTGTGGTAAGGAATTTGGGCTTTTACTATGAGTGAGACAAGAAGGTTCTGATCACAGAATAGATCAAACTTATGATTTGACTTCTGACCAATGAATGGAAAACAGTGAGGAGAGAGGGTAGGAGTGAAACAGGGAGACCAGATAAGAGGTTGAAGCAACAATCCAAGCAAGGGAAGCCAGCAGCCTGAACCAGGGTGGTGTTGAAAGCTGGAAAGTGCTCACACACTTGATCCATTCTGAAGGCAAAGCTGACAGGACTTGCTGATGGACTAGACATGGGAAATAGGAGAGGAAGAGAAGACAAGGATGAGTCCAAGCTTTCAGTTAAACAACAAGAAAGGAGCTGCAATTGTCTGAAGTAGGGAGGACTGCAGCAGGAGCCAGATTATTTGGGATGTTAGGGTAGGATCAGGCTGTGTTTGGTTTTAACAAGGTTAAGCTCTGATACAAAGTGAGAACAATTCATCACTACCTCCTTCATGAAATACCTTCTGCATTCAGCCTCCAAGATACCAGCTCTCAAGTTCCCTCCTATTTCACTGGCCACTTCTCAACCTCCTTTGTTCCCTCTACTCTAAATGACTACCAGGTATGTAAACAGAGATATCAAGAAGTCAGTCAGACAAAGCCAAGTACAGAGTGTTTTGACAAGGGGAAAGAATAATCTGCTGTAGAAAGGATAGCTGTAGAAAGATGAGGTGGCTTAGGTAAACACACCTAAACTGCTGCCGTGCACAACAATTTCAAAACTACAACTAAAAAACAAAATGTCTATCACCCAGAACCATGGGAAAGCTGGCTGAATGGAAGCTCTACAACTAGATTGAAAGAGAAAGGAGCATTCAGGGCAAAGTGCTGAAAAACTGAAGTACATAGGCGTTAGCACGATATGGGCAGGCGGCGGATCCCGGCTGGCAGATGGCATTGGTTTCTTCAACACGAAGAGAGACAAGCTCCTAATCTCTCTGAAATCCAGTTTCTGGGGAGAAGCTAGACTGTCTGCCATCGGGTCAGAAAGTGAGGGTGGCTTGCTTGCAGAGCTGTGCGCAAGAATAATTGTTTGCTGTGTGGGGGCGTGAGATGGGCAGTCATCACTGTTGGCCACCCCCAGCCTAGTGATGCCCTGAGACTCTGCCCTGCACAATCTACAAACTCATCCAAGCTCCAAGCAGCGGCTTTTGCATATAAATGGCCTTCTCCATTGCAACCAGGTGCAGACAGCTCCAAAGTTTCCAAGCTCCAAGCAGGAAGGAAAGGACTGTGGCTCCTTGCTGTAGCCTCCTGCAGGTTGGCCTTAGACAGTAGCTGAACTGCACCCCAAGGGAGATCCAGAAGCCAGTTTACCTAGTGGTCAGTGTGAGATACCGGATTTTAACTTCTCACATCCATTAGTGACACATTCCAGAGGCAGACTCAGTGAGCACCAAAGCCCCACTGAGACAAGGCCTGCACCATAAGCGTGTCTGCAGCCCAGCAGTTCTTCCATTATAGACACAGTGAATCCTCACAGCCATTTGGCCTGGAAGTCAATTCCTCCCAGTGTACCAACAGCAGTTAAGTCTTAACTAAACCAAGACATTGCACTTAGCCCACAAATGGGTGTACCAAAAGCAACCACCTTTGGTGATTGGGGAAGCTGAGCTACTGGACCTATCACACAAAGCCACTCCATCAACACAGGGAGGCAACCAAAATGCAGACACAGAAGCATATCACGAATGGGATAGATGGAGGAAAGTAAACTACTAGACGACATAGAGTTCAGAATCATATTTATAAGGTTACTCAAGAATCTTCTAAAAACCGCTGAGAAACCTGAAGAGACTTTAAGGACCTTAATGAGAACGCCAAAAAAAAAAAAAAAAAGAAAAAAAAAGAAAGAAAAATGGAAAAGGACCAGTCAGAAATTAAGCATATACTGTCTGAAGTAAAGAATATACAGAAACTCAACTGTAGATCAACATACCCCAAGAGTCAAACCAAAGATCTGGAATATGAGGAAACAAAAAAACACCCAACCAGAGAGGCAGAAAGAAGAATCCGAAAATGTGAGGACAGTGTAAGGCAGCGTTTTTCAACCGCTGTTCCGCGGCATACTAGTGTGTCGCGAGATGTTGCCTGGTGCAGATAAGACAAGAATTTTATAATTTTTCACTATTTTGTTTACTTAATATTTCATAATAAAGTAATTATAAAATACTTTCTTTGTGTTTATTTGATTCCTATTCAAGAGAATTACTTTATATATAGTCAATATAGGCACAGAGTTAAATTTTTTAACATTTTCTAATGGTGGTGTGCCTCGTGATTTTTTTCATGAAACAAGTGTGCCTTTGCCCAAAAAAGGTTGAAAAACACTGGTGTAAGGAACCTCTGGGATGGCTTTAAGCGTACCAACATCCAGATTTTTTGGGGTGCCAGAAGAAGAGAGAGAGCAGAATATTGAAGGCCTATTGAAAGAAATAATGACAGAAAACTTTCCCTACATGGTGAAAGAAATAGACTTACAAATCCAGGAAATGCACAGAACCCCAAACAAGAGGAATCCAAAGAGGGCCACACCAAGACACATCATAATTAAAATGCCAAGGGCAAAAGACAAAGAGAGAATCTTGAAAGAAGCAAGAGAAAAAAGTTAGTTACCTACAAGGGAGTACCCATACAACTGTCAGCTGATTTCTCAACAGAAAATATGCAGGCCAGAAGGGAGTAGCAAGAAATATTCAAAGTGATGAACAGCAAGAACCTACAACCAAGATTACTCTACCCAGAAAAGCTATCATTCAGAATTGAAAGGCAGATAAAGAGCTTCACAGACAAGAAAAAGCTTAAGAAGTTCATCACCACCAAACCAGGATAACATGAAATGCTGAAGGGTATTCTTTAAGAAGAGGAAGAAGAAGAAAAAGGTAAAGGTAAAAACTATGAACAACAAAAAGACATCAAATACATACCTATCAACAAGTGAGTTACAAAATCAAGTGAATAAAAAATCTGAAGAACAGAATGGACTAATGAATATAATAGAATCAGGGGCATGGAAAGAGAGTGGATTGACCATCCTCAGGGGGAAGGAGATCTGAGGGGTGCAGGAAGAGATTGGACAAAAATCTTAAACCTATGGATGAAGACAGTGGCAGGGGGTAAGGGCATGGGGTGGGGTGGGGAATCAGGTGGAGGGGAGTTATGGGGGAGGGGAGGACACCTATAATAATCTGAACAATAAAGATTATATATTAAAAAAAAAAAAAAGAAAGATGAAGGCAAGAAGTGATATGGGGATTTGGCAAATGCAAGGTCATGGGTGACACAGACCATGGAAAAATAGAATTGGATTACTCCTAGAGGGAGGAAAAAAGAAAACACATACTCTCTAGAATCATTAGAAAAAATAATAATAAAAAAAAATTTTAAAAAAGCTCCTTCTTTTAGAACCATAGCAAAATCCTTCCCCCCACCCCTTATCAGGGAAGTTTCTAAGTATATGTCAAAGCCTGAGCATCACTCCTTCCTAAATAGACTTGCTTCACAGCCCAGACAAGGTCAGAGGGAGTAAAGGTGGAAAAGGAGACATCAACTCATTCTGGAAGTGAAATACCACCAATCTCTTTACTTGAAGGTCACCCACACCACTCACCACTAGTCTTCCCCACATGATTTGTAAGTATATTCCAGATAGAGCTTCACAAGAGAGGGCATAATAAATATTTATTATCATTTAAATTTAAAAATAAGTTCAAAAGTCTGAGCGATAAGCTGAAATACAATAAAAAGTAATATCTGAGTGTTAGTTAGACATCTTGCTGGCATGCAATGGTTCTTTTAATGCAGGAAAAGGTCCTGTAGAAATTTCCATGTTATTACATATTGTCTCCCCTTTTCACAGAAGATTCTAATGAAAATGAGGAGGACAAGGATACTAAGGCATAAAGGCAAAGGGTTGGGGCTGAGGTCAGACTGCCAGGAGAAGCAGACAGGAATTGAACCAAGAAAATCCTGATAGTTCTACCCATAATGCTACTCAGGGTACAATTCGATGGCTACTGCCCAGCAGGAGAAAAGCCAGTGTCTTCTTCCAAGTAATCATTTATGTCACATCTGTGGGGAGCAGGCTTGACATGATGCTCTGCCCTGTGATCCAGGCCAGCAAATTGGACTCACCTTCAGCTCCAGACACCCTCCGTCCCCCTGCCTGGAACACAGTCCTCATTACAAAGCCCAACCCTCTTTGTGGAAAACCAGCTGCACAGCCTCATCCACGTCATTCACAATGTGGGATGCCTCTATAAGCCCTGGACTAAAATTAAAGTCCCGGTGCCCATGGAAGGGAGGCTCCTCTCCTCCCTGAGCAGGCTCTGTGGACCCCGGGGCCTTGGGACTGTATACACCAGTGCACACCAGGATGGAGGCACAGCTCTGGGTTGCTGAGGATCGCTGCTTCAACAGACCACTGGCCCCCAGCTTCTCTGCCCGCTCATGCTTCGCCATCTGCAGGTATTGGTTGAACAGGTTGGCACCGTAGACATCAGACATAGGATTATCACTGGTAGGGGCAACCATACCGGAAAAGAAAAGAGGAGAAAACCGAAGTTCAGTGTTGTAAGGCGCAGAGAGCAGAGGACAATTATGGGGCAAGGAGTGTGCATTAAACATAGGGAAACATGGTGGATGAGAGGGGAAGGAAAAGTTGAGGTGATGGATAGAGCTTACCCTACAGCATAGAGCTTCTGGATGGGGGCAGCCCAACCCCGCCTCTCCGCCTGCTGCCTGATCAGTTCTTCTGCATACTGATAAGTGAGGATGCTGGGTTTGCCCATCAGGCCCTTGTATCTCAGCTCTTTGCCTGTCACTTTGCGGTAAATGGTTTCCAAGCACAGCAGAAACGTGCCATGGCCAAACCTACCAGAGAAGACAGCCCAACAGATCAGTCTTCGCTCCCTGGACTCTCCAGGCCACCTGCCATTCTCTGTGCAGTACCCTATCACTCATCCAGTGGTGACAGGTCAAAATAAAATTACTTCTAATAAGAATTACATTTATGACCTGCTATTATCTAATAACATTTATTGAGCACTGTTCTAACATTGGAGATACAAATCACATTTAATTCTCAGAAAAACTCTGAGATCATTGTTCTCATTTTACAAGTGAGGAAACTGAGACATAAAGAGATTAAGTAACTTGCCCAAGGTGGTAGCACTAGGATTTTACCCCAGGAATTAGGATTCCAGAAAGTTTAATTTTTGCTTTAGAATTGTGGCAGACCACTGGTTGCCATTCTCCCCTTCTTTCTTGGTGCCAATTTTTACTGAGCATAGTGCTACCAAGTGTAAAAACTATATTCCTTTCCTCCTCTGCAACAGGGTGTGTGGCCATGCGAATGCACTATAACCAGAGTCAATGAAATTAGAAATGCGGGGCTAACCATCTAGGAAATATTCTTAAATTGGGGAGGTGATGCTCTTCTCTACCTTCCCCTGTTCCTTTCTGCCTGGAATGCTGATATGACAGTTGAAGTTCAGGCAGCCATTTGGAATTATGTAATAAAGGGCTAAGGATT